CACACACACACACACACACACACACACACACACACACACACACACACACACACACACACATACACACACACACGCACGCACGCACGCACGCCACACGCACGCACGCACGCACGCACGCACACACACACACACGCACACACACCGCCCGTTGCCCGCACGCCAACCCAACCAGGTCCCTTTGCGCCGCCCATCCTGGGCAACCTGCCCGGCCTTGCTCGCCACAGCGGGGGCCTCCATGAGTACCTGGACGACTGCCGCCGCAAGTACGGCCGCCTGTTCAAGGCGCGTGACCATTGGGATTCCGATATTGTCGTGAACATGTTGGAATCAGAGTGACCCCTGGGTCATTGGTTGTGTCGTTTTTTGCGAGACCTCAGGACCGGCACAAGTGATAGCGGTTGGCTCCTCGCTCTCTGCAGCAGCGGGCGGGGTGCCGCCGCGGCCGGCAGTGCGTGCAGGCGGATTGCCCGGGGGCCCTGGGGATTGATCTCCTTGCGTGCCCGTCTGGGCCTGCGCGCCTGCAAGCGCCCCAAGGGGGGACATGGGGTTTGGGGTTGATGGTTTGACCCGAAAACCTCAACCCACGATGGGCTTGCTGGGACATAGATGCTCTTTGCGACCCTGGGGGCTGGTTTGCCGTCACCATCCCTCAAGCACGGAGGCGCCTCAGCGCCACGCTGCCGCTCATCGCAACGCTGAGGCTCGCGTCATGCACGCGCGAACGCTCGCGCACGTCGCCCGCACAAACGCCAGGTGTACCTGGGCAGCCGGATGTTCATCATCGTGGCCGACCCCGACATGGCGCGCCGGGTTCAGTACAAGGTGAGGGGCGCGGCGTGAATTGGAGCGCGAGCACAGCGCGAGGACAAGGGGGCGCCCAACAGTGCCAGGGCCTACATCAAGAAAGTTGGGCGGCAGGTGCTGCTCTGCCACTTGCTGGCCACCTCACGGGGCCGCTACTACTGCTGGGTGCCTGGGGGTACGTGTGCTCCCTTACTTTGGACAAGCCAACATTGCTCATGGCTTGCTGGCTCGGCCAACCGTCATCGCCGGGCCCTTGTCTTCCCTCCGTCCATGCACATGCAACAGCATCAATGTTCCTGACGGGCCATGGACCTCTCACATTGGTGCTTATGCATATATGCACGCGCGCGTGTGCACGCGCGCACACACGCACGCACGCATACGCACTCATGCACATGCTCGCGCGCGCGTGCACGCACGCATGTGCGTGCGCGCACGCGCGCGCGCACACACACACACACACACACACACATGCTTCTTCTGCTTCATGCATATTTCCTCACAGCTCCTGAACCACGACAAGGCGATAGGCGTGCAGCTGACCTCTGACAAGAAGGCGGCAGACCCCTCCGCCTCGAGAGGCCTCTTCGTTGCCAGGTGGGCCCAGCGCTGCCCATCCCGGGAGGGCGCAACGAACAGGGTTGCGCGCGGCAATCCGCTACACTGCACCGACGCTCGACCCGCCGTTTATCCCTGATGGCACGTGCGTCGCAGCGACCTCTGGCCGCATCTGCGCGTGCAGCCACTCCTTGCCCACGCCCTGCCGCCGCACGCAAACCCCGCGTCCATCGGTCGTCGCCGAAGCAACCAGCTCCGCCCTTCGCGCCTCCCGTCCACCCCTGCCCTCCCTGACCGGCGCGTCGCCCGCGAAGGGACGACGAGTGGCGCGCGCTGCGCATGGCGTGGCAGCCGGCGTTCTCGTCCGCATCCCTGGAGGGATACACTGCCCTGATGGACGGCTGCGCCCTCAAGCTGTGCGACGTGCTGCAGGTGCGAGGGGGCCGGCGGCGAGCTGCCCCGAGGATCGATGTATGCGTGCATAAATCCGTGTGCTGATTGGGGGCGAAGCCCAATCATCAGTCCAGCCCTACAAGGCGAACGATGCAGCATGCTCGCGGCTTCTCACTTGCCGTGCTGCGCATGTAAGATTCTTGCCTTGGGTGCAGGGGCCTGCCCGCCGCACACGCGTCCGAAGCCCTGTCCTGTATCCATCAACGACCTCTGCGGACATGGCCTATGCGCTTGGCTCTTGCGCCCCTGCCCGGCGTCTGCATGCAGCTTGAGGCGCTGGCGAGCTGGGGGTGCGCGACGTCTCCCTAGTTTGTGCCCAAAGCCGCTCACGAAACACCTCGCACCCCCACTCTGTGCAGGGCGCTGCTGACAAGGGCCGGGTGGTGGACGTGTGGCGCGAGGTCGGGAGGATGACGCTGTCGGTGGGTGCCTCCGCTGACCGTCAGTCTCACAACGCTGTCCGTGTGATCAGCTGCATGAGGGTCCTCATTATTGCACTGAGACGTCCACAGACCGGATGCATGCTTGCTTGATGCACAGCAGCATTGCCGCCTGCCCTCCGCCCATGGCATGGTGCCCACAGAGTGCCAACCACGCTTGGTTTGGCGCCCTGGAGATCCAAAATGCATCGCCCTTTACCGCTGGCGGAGCACCCCTCTGCCTCGCTGCACTTCTCCTCCCAGCGCGCGATGCGCATCGCGCACACGCGCCGTGTACCCCCCCGCCCCCCAGGTGGTCGGCACTTGCGCGTACGGCGTCGACTTTCACACGATGAACAGTGCCCCACACGGCGCCATCGCCGACCCGGAGGCGCACGCTCTGGTGCGCTTGTTCACGCAGGCGGCAGGGTGATTGGCCGTTCAGCACGTGGGCAAATGCTCTTGTCGTCCCTTGTCACGTGATCCCTGCACCTGGTGCACAATGCGGCACCCATCCTTACTTGACTGCAATGTGCAATCTGCGTGTTGCAGGGCGGCCGAGGCCTGCCCCCGCCGGAGCGATGCCGTCATTCTCAATTGAGACCTCTTGCGCCCGCTGCTTATCCGCTGCAGCACCTTGATCCTGACCTCTGCCTCTCCCATTCTCAAAATTCAACTTCAAAACCCAACTAGGCGGGCGGGGTCGTCTGGATTTGTTGAAGAATTGGGGAATGCCAACCCCCAGCCCTGCAAACACCCACACGACTCTTAGACTCCCTGCCTCAATCCCCCAACCAGGTGACTGCGGTGCAGCGCTTCTTCGCTAGCGGCCTGCTGTCCGGCACCACCTGGGGGCGGCTGCTGCTGCTGTTTCCAGACGCCAAAGGCCTGGTGCAGTGGCTGGCCGCTGCCATGCCAGATCAGGCCCTGAGAGACCTGACTGAGGTGCGCCCTGAGCGGTTTCTGTGCTTGGGCGCCAACGTTGCGCCTGAAATCCTGACGCGCTATCACGTGTTTGCTGTTTGTTCTCTTAGCATCACATTTTAAATGCAGCTACAAGGATGCCACAAGCGGGCGCAGGCAAGCAGCCATGCCAGCAGCCGCGCACACCGGGATGGTTGACCAGTCAGATTTGCGGCCTGGCACTGCGAATGCTAGGCCCCGCGCTGCTGGCAGGGCCACGGGGCTGGAAGCAGCCTCTTGCCCTTTGGTGGACCAAGCCCCTCTCACGCTTTGCCGCCTCCACAACCCACCAAACAACAACGCATAGGCCCGCCAGACGGTCGTCTCCACGAGCCGCAAGCTTGTCAACGCCTGGCGCGAGGCCAACGGCTGCCCTGCTAACGCTTCACGGGACGCACACGCGGCAGCCGGCGCGCAGCGGGGGCGGGGCGCCGGCGGCGTGAGCAAGCCTTCCGCGGCAGGCCGGGGAGCGAGGGGCATCGCGCCGGGCAGCTTCCTGGGTCTCATGCTGGACAATGCGCGGTCAACCAAGGAGTTTGATGACACAACGGTCATCGCTCAGAGCAACGGCTTCATCCTGGGTGCGCCCCACCCTCCACCCGATGAGCGGCGCTCATCTAACCTGTCCTCATGCGCAGGCAGCCCAGCGCCGGGCCGGACGCACGATGCCTGGCGCGGTGGTCAAGCGTGCGTGCACCCTCGACCGCCGCCCCAGGTCAACAGGAGGGCGCAAATCAGCGGGCCGCCCATAAGCGCATGCGTGCCGCATTCGCTGCTGAAGCCCACACACGCCCACGCCCCTCCACTTCTCCCTCAATCCCTAGCTGGCTACGAGACCACTGCCAACACATTGGCCTATGCGATTTGGGCCATATCAGCCCACCCCAGGGTGCAGGTGAACGTCGCAAGCGCCATGTCCCATCTCCCAGCATTTTCCTATTATCCCAGACCAGCTTTTCTCGTCGCAGCGGCAGGCGGTCGTTAGTAGCACACACCCCTACCTGTGACGTTTGCTGCATCGATGCAAGACAAAAACTTGCATTGCTCTGGCGCGAGGATCCTGCCGCCTGCTCTCCCCACTCTGCACACGCCACTCGAGCAATGCCATTCCCGTTTGCCTTGTGACCCCCCTTCCCCACAGGAGCGCGTGCTGGCGGAGGTCGACGCCTTCGGCCGCTGCCGCGACGTCACCCACGCGGACCTGCAGGGCGACGCCGCCTTCCCCTACCTGCAGGCCACCCTGAAGGAAACCATGCGCATGTGAGCGAGTTGCTGCACTGGCCCCCGTGCGCTCTGCCTGCTGGCACGGCCGCTGCGATCATCTTGACGTTTTCACCAGTACAATTGTGGCCGGACCGGCATGGGCCGCCTGCCTGCGGTGTCGGGTGCAAAGGGGGGCTGCAGTTATCGGGGGGTGGGGGGACGCCATTGCTTGGCAGGGTGTGTGACGGGCGGTGGCGTTTCGACGGTGCCCCGCAACACCCGGCGATGCGCAGGTTCCCCGCGGCGTCGATGACTCACCGTGACGTCACCAAGGAGGAGGGCTTTGAGCTCGAGTCTGGCATCAGGGTCCCCAAGGTGTGCCGGCACGGGGGCCGCTGCGGGTTGGGGCGGAGGCTTGGGGAATACATCAGGGCTGTGACGCAATTGTGCACGCAGGTGCTAGCTTGAGTCTTGCGACAACCACCAAGGCTGAGCCCAGCTGTCGGGCTTGCCTCTCGGTGTTTCAACAATGCCATGGGCACTGTTCGCATGCCTCACCCTGCATTTCAAGAAGGAGCTCCCACGACCCGCCAGCTGACCCCCTCGAAACATACCCCAAGCCAACCCCGTGAACCTCGCCGTTGCGTGCATTGTCCCTCCTGCGCTGCGCCGCAGGGTGTCCTGCTGCACACTGCGATGTGGTGCTACCAACGCGACGAGGCCTTCTGGCCGAGGCCGCTGGAGTTTATGCCGGAGCGCTTCC